GGGTACTTATAAAATCCAGACCCGGGTCACTGAATGGTTTTCATCGGGTTTTCTGATAGTCGGGGGTGGGGGTGCATACTGAAAGGCTTCCCCCTGGCGCGCAGCGCCGAGGGCGGGAACCGGGCCGCGCTCAGACTTCACACGGCTTCGGGCGGCAGTAGGCCGCGATGTTTGACTAAGTATTCGAGAAGGGGTTCTATTAAGAATAGCTTGCATCCGTGCATGGCAATAATCGTGGCTGATTGGCTAAAACCAATATGTGTAGTCTGGTTTGAGAAAACATTTTGGGGCGGCTCGCTGTACTGTACCTGTTTTGGTACCTGTTTTCAAAATGGTACAAATATAGGGCTTTTAATCGGTGAAATCCGCTACCGTAAAATTCGGTTTTATTAATAGTGAGACACTTGTACAGTAAACGCTCTTTGTCAAATGAAACGTGAACATAAAATTGGAGCAATATTGCTGATAGCAAGTGACTTTTGTAAACTGCCCCATTTACACTCAATCACGGTAAGAAGTAAGGCAGGCGTTATTGTGACCGACTGAAATATACGAAGACGAGCCATTCGTGACGACGTGACCGATTGTGCCCGACGAAGAAATTCACCCTTCTTGTATATGCTGTATAATCCGGATACGAGCACTTAGTGTTTTTAGAGCGAAGTCATCCTCAAGGCCGATGTTAACCTCAAGGACGAATCCAACCTTTCTGTGATGTTTCCGACACAATGTGTTTTAACAGCAACTATTAATTTAAGTTAAACAAAGTGTATTGCTTCACATGCACATCTGCAAGTAGCGATAACGCTGGTACTGCAGTGCCTTCTTACTCAATTCACCTGTGCTTTCTCCGCTACAGAACGTTTCGAATGCAAGCAGAACGTACACCCCACAGTTGTAGCTGTCTAGTTGGACTCCAGCATCCGCAACATAGGGAACCACTCTGTAACGTCCTGGTGTAGCCGGCATGTGTTGCACAAGTTTGTGCGCTAGTACTCTAAGGGTACCAGTGTAGCTGCTGCTCATGGAATCATAGTACTTGATAGTTGTATCAGCTGTGTTGATCATGATACCGCCCCAGTGCGTGCCGTTACAGTTCACTGGAAGCAGTAAAATTCGCCCAGTAATACAACTGAACAAGTGCTTTAACTCTTCGTCTGGAATGCTCACATTTCCTCTCTCCACGATACCCCATATCGCTGGGTCAACAGTCATGACTTCCTCTTGCTGACCAAATAGCTTTGCCATTGCCTCTGCCAACGCAGTGTCACTAAGTAGTGATCTGCATGCAAAGTCAACGATCCGAATCTACAAAATACGTATACAAAGTGTCAGTTGCTGCTACCCTTAAATTATGCAAAGTGCTTACCCTTTCAGAGAAAATCGGAATTGCTTCTAGTTTTGACGCCAATTCTGCATCTGGTTCGTACAGGCGAAATGTCCAGCGAGAAATCAATTTCTGAGATCCATTTTACGGCTCTCTCGATATTGTTTAGCTCTTTGACTGCTTGATGCCATATCTTCAATGGTATACAGTGTCTGCATCCCGATTACAAATAGACCAGGAAAATCAACTGCAAAGTCTAGCTATGGCAATTCCTTGTGCTTCTTTTGTAGGGTAACTACCTTTTTGCTCGCTCGCTGGAGTATCTCTTTGGCCAAAATACGAGAAATGTCGATTGGATCCATGATAACTTTGTTAGCCGGTATCTTCGAAATAACGTAGGGCATTGGGGGCTTCATCTTCTTATCAAAAACAAATAGCTGGAATCGGTGTAGCGGCTCAGCACATGATGCGTAGGTAGGTTCATTTAAAAGGAGAACCTGGACTGTTTTGAGGCTCATACCTTGGTCGTGAAGTATCGAATCATCTTGTGCCATTAGGATAGATACATTCCTCTTCGCTTACTTAGTCTTTGCCTTCTGCTTCGGGCGGCCTCGCGGGCGTAATGGACTTGCTATCTCGAACCCAGGTGATTCCGCATTAATTGGTTCGAATTCAAGAACTTGAGTCAATTGCATCACCGAATGATCCACCAAGTGATCCATCGATTGAGGCACCGACTCCACCGATTGAGGCACCGACTCCACCGCCTCCACCGAGTGGTCAACCGCCTCCACCGAGTGGTCAACCGCCTCCACCGACTGAGCCACCGACTCTACAGACTCCACCGACCGAGACACCGACTCCACACTTCCACCGACTGCAACAGATTCCGCACCCGATTCCACGATTGCACCAGATCTAGCCGTGGCGGTGCCAAGGCTGGTACCAATACAGGTCAAACGT